GATTAAAGACTCCTTTACTTCTACTCCTTTGTCGTGTGCCTTTCCTACAACCACGACTGCGTGACAGAATCCAGCACCAATAACAGATAAAGATGACGAGGTGAGCTGGCACGAATCTTCACTTGGTGCGTGTTTCCAGCTGGGGCTGGACGATGATATAATCTGCTGCGATCTCCCTACGTGTGAATTTCCCCTGATCGAGCTGATTAATCTCGTCCTCTATTTAAACGATTCCGACTTCGAGGTGGAAGAAGTCTCCTCATCCAGCCCCCTCTGGAACAAGCCGTGTCTCCCCAGCTCACCTCACGCCAGGAACCCCCACATACCTCGCCAACGCCTCGGACCAGTTAAAGATGACTACAATTGAGGACAAGCTGTGTACGCTGCGGCAGAGTGGTCGGACGTTGGAGAGATATGTGGAGGAATTCCTCGCGCTTTCCAACAAGGTGAGCTGGCACGACTCTGGACTATGATATAATCCGCTGCGATCTCCCCACGTGTGAATTTCCCCTGATCGAGCTGATTAATCTTGTCCTCTATTTAAATAATTCAGACTTCGAGGTGGAAGAAGTCAAGATAAATTCTAAGTCTCCTCGTCCAGCCCCCTCTGGAACAAGCCATGCCTCCCCAGCTCACCTCTCGGCAGGAACCCCCACATACCTTGCCAATGGCTCCGACCACCTGCCCAAACCGAGGCATCCCCATGTTCTCCTGAGCTCCACCGTAATCCTCAACCCAGGAGCGCCGGCCGATCTGAAGTCTCGAAGGCCGCTCAGAAGTCAAGACGGCTGGCCGATTATCAGTCAGGCCTGCCGGCCGCGGCTCACTCGGGCCCGTCGGCCGCCGCTGACTCAAGCCCGCCGGCCACCGCTGGCTCAACGCTCTTGAACATGACGCTGCCTCCGGAGTTCTCGGCCCCTATCCTCTCTCCAGAGTCCGCTCCAGAAAGCTCTCCATCGTCTCCTAAGTCTCCTTCACCTCCACTGGTCGCATCCAGCCCTCCTTCGTCTCCTGAGCCCCCTGTGTTACCGAACTCCGCTCCTCCAGAGCACCCTCCAGAGCGCCCTCAAGTGCCCGCTCCTCCATCGCGCCACCCAGAATTCCTAATTTTCCCCAAGAAAATGTTTGGGGGGGGGGCATATGTTCTCAGTTTCTGTTGAGTCTTTGTGCTGGATTAATGTTATTTTCAACGGTCTAAGTGTGTTGATGTTTATTAAAGACTCCTTTACTTCTACTCCATCGTGCGCCTTTCATACAACCACGACCACGTAACAGGTGTACATGGGAACATAAAAATAATTATTTTGGAAAGTGATTCTTCTAGCTGGTAATGTATTTATTTAATTATTTATTCTTAAAAATAGGATTTCAATGAATAAATAGTGCTAAAAAAAGAAACTGGTTCCAATAATTCAGTGAGCATTAGCTAAAGGTATTTGGCATAATTTTAAAGTGCTCATGTTCTTGTTTTTATTTTATTTTTATTCTTGTTGTTGACACTTTCAACAACATTTGGTAAAATGCCACTGCCAACATTCCAAAAAAAAAAAGCCCTAAAAAGTCAGTTTTTAGGATAAACTACTTTGACAGACAGATTCAGTGTTGCGCAAACTACAGTAGTTGTAAATTTCCAGTGTCACTTGGGTGCAGCACCCATGAAGTAGCCAACTACACTAGATGTCTTCTGGGAATAAAACCAGTAACACGTTACCGTTATTGTAAAAAAATAATACAATTATTATAATTAGTGGTCACTAATTTGCTCAAAAAAGTTTAAAAAATCCTACATTGCCCTATGGACATGAATGATACCTCAAATCATGAGGTTTGGTGAGAAGAGGTGTTGAAATGAATGACTGTTGTTATAATACAACACACACACACACACACACACACACATATATATATATATATATATATATATATATATATTTGTATGTATATAGAACATATATCACATTTATATTACATTTATACATGCAACTTTAAATAGTCTGTGTAAATGCCATATCATATGTAGCTTCTGTTCCATTTGTGTATTGTAAAGATGGCTTGTTGATGTTGATGAAATTTTATTTGAAACAGTCTAGTATTCTGATTAAAATAATTGGTTAAATCTAAGCATTTGACATAAAAGGCAATACAGACACTTTTAATAATTATAGTGACGTGACGAAGTATGGTGACCCATACTCAGAATTAGTGCTCTGCATTTACCCATCCAAAGTGCACACACACAGCAGTGAACACACACACACCCGGAGCAGTGGGCAGCCATTTTTATGCTGCGGCACCCGGGGAGCAGTTGGGGTTCAGTGCCTTGCTCAAGAGCACCTCAGTGGTGGTATTGAAGGTGGGAGAGAGCGCTGTACATTCACTCCCCCCACCTACAATCCCTGCTGGTACGAGACTCGAACCCACAACCTTTGGGTTATGAGTCCGACTCTCTAACCATTAGGCCACAACTTCCCCATTGATCTTTACAAAGGTATTCAACCCTGGGAATCAAATATGGCCCCTTAATGAAAAAGTTCATTTCTGACCATGTATCAGATGATTTCCTTCAGGCAGATGCTAAATTGGGGAAGAAAAAAAAATAAATCTCATAGACTCACATTGAAGGTGGGACCCGAGTCATATCTACTGTAGGGTCCAAAATTGTTTTTAATGTTGTTTCATCATGAAAATATATTCACAATAAATTATATCTGGATGTTCATCTGCATCAAGATATTAATCAAAATGTATTTGACCAAAAATGTCAACACGACATTTCCTTTTTCATTGGTATTATTCAACACAGTGATGAGCAGCACAGCTGCATGTGTGCGGCATCTTCACATTTACATAGGAAAACAAAACAGTCTTGCTCTGGTTCTGGAACATAAGAAAAGTCTATGTAATTTAAGATATGTATACAACAGCTAAATGTACCTTAATGATTTTTAGATATTTTACTGACAAAAATAGAAAAAATACTGATTAAGAAAATGTTTTACAATATGAAGAAATTCCTAGACAACATTTTGGAGGGATTGCCTATTTTCCAGGCATGTTCTTTCAAACTTGAACTAATATATTCCTTCATGGATAATAAAAAAAGTGTGTGTGTTTGTGTGTGTGTGTGTGTGAGAGAGAGAGAGAGAGAGAGAGATAGAGAGATAGAGAGATAAAGAGAGTGTGGTGTGACTAATGTCAAAAAATCCTTTTAGCATGACTGCTTTATTGGCTTCTGTCTCAGCAGGATAATGTAGACCGAGCTGCCAATCACAGACAGTCAGATTTGATTGGACCAGGTTTTCCGCCGTCAACCAATCGGAATTCACCCAGCCATCAAGGTCAGTGAACTAATAATTTGAATGTGCACTTTAGATATTTCTTAAAATAAGATACCCTGGCTCCAGTGTTTGTAATGACAGTAATTTTTTGTGGTTATGGTGTATGATATGATGTGGTCTTAATATCCAAATCAGAGGTAGAGCGTTTTAATAGATGTGCAGAATTGCTTCAGGTTTAATAACTCACACAATTAACAAGTGAGTATGTGTGTGCATACTTGATTATGGGCGGGGGCTGTCTGTCGTAGATGCCTTTTATAGTTGGAGACTTGCTCATTAAGTTCAAACTGGGATCTATATTCAGGCCTCTTCCGCTGTAAACACTCCAGCAGTTCAAAGGCTTGATTTGTAAAGACACAGGGTGCCACTCATTAAGCCTCCAACCTAATTGTGCCATACACAAATACAGAGGCATGATATTTGGAGCATGAGATTTAAGCACAATATCGCCTCAGCATGGGAGGTAGAGCCTGAAGTTTTTTTTTTTTTTTTTCTTCTGAAAGTCTGATGCTGTCATTGAAGTAAATGGAGCAGATATTCTCATTTAGGACTTCTCAGAGTACACCGAAAAAATCCTCATAGCTGTGACTACACTAAACTCTTGGCTGTAATAATTGAGTGGATTCATATAGTATCGATAGATAGATAGATAGATAGATAGATAGATAGATAGATAGATAGTCTATCTATAGATGGAGAGTTTTTTTCTGTTGATTTGTGGATTTTTTAACATTGTTCAATAATTTATATTCAGACTATTATTTGAACACTATTATCACATGACTAAATGAATACATGTATGTATGAAAAACTAGAAAAACTGGCAAAGCGTGTTCCCATGCCTGTTCTTGACCCTGCAGTTTTCATACTCCATTGAAGACAACAATCTGTGAGAACAAAGGTCTTATTTTGGGATGTTGGAATGCCGCTTAGAATAGAAGAGTAGCATTTGCTCATCAGATCTCAAACTGAGGCCAGAAATATCTGTTGTTGCCTCGAAATCCCATGTGACGTTTACGGCAATGTCTTTACAGTTAAAACCTCTCACATACTTATAATCTTTTAATAGAGTTAATGACCACACTATTATTTGTTATGAAGTTAACTGGCATATGAAATGTACTGAAACTGAGGTGCTTTGTTAAAGGGGTCATATGATGCGATTTCAATTTTTCCTTTCTCTTTGGAGTGTAAGAAATACACAACATCACAATATGTTAAGGGGCGTAACATTTCCGTCACACGCTTGAGATATTCGGCCAATCACAACGCACTGGATAGCTGGCCAATCACAGCACACCTCGCTTTTCAGACCGATGAGCTTTGTAAAAATCGACATGTTTCAGAAAGGCGGGGCATAGAGGAGAAACAATAATGTACAGTATGTGGAAAATAATGTTTTTTGAACCTTAAACCGCATAAACACATTTAATTACACCAAATACACAAAATAATGTTCTTTTAAGCAACATCATATGACCCCTTTAAAATGTGACATTGTAGGCTTTTAGTACAAATGGATTACCTTTGATGGGTCTAAATAAATGTTTTGCTTTCTGGAAGTGTGTGGGGTTTGTCATTGATCCTCTTTCATAACAGGAGCCTTCGGTTACATTATTAACTGCAAGTGTTATTCAGCTTGGGTTTTTAGTAAGAATGTACGATTTATCGATTTTGTATTCTGCAGAAGAAAGACATGCAGTCATGCAGTTTTTTTGTATGAGCTTTTTTGTTTGAACTATCTGTATAATTGAGATATTTATTGAGATATTTACTAGTTCTGGGCTTGAAATTGAAAAGCTGGATCGGACCACTGCAGAGTTATTCAAGGTATTGTTTTGTTGAGGTCAGTTCGTCTCCTACACCGCATGGTTTTGATGGACCCATGGGCAGCAATATCCAGGGCACTGCATTATTTAGAAGAAAGAAGTTTTAGTCTGGTGGGTGGATGGGGTTTATAAGATTATAGAAGGTGAGGTATATGAAACTCTGATTAGGCTGATGTTTCCTAAGAACAGGCCCTGATCCCCATTATTGTTTTTCCAGATTTCCCGTGTCTTTACTCACACTCTGCTCTTTGACTGCCAGGGGCATTTTTACCCATCATTCTCTCTTTGACTACTTTTACATGCACATCAGAAAACTGCTTATTGCAAGAAAGCTGTTTAGGACACAAAAGCGGCATACATTTATGGGGATGATTAACCCAGAAATGAAATTTATGTCATTTACTTACCCTGTCGTTTCAAGTCTTTATAAAAGAAGATATTTTTAAGAATGTTGGTAACTGAACAGTTTTGGTTACCATTGAGTTCCATTAAATGGTCAAAAAATATTTATGTTTCACAGTAAAAAGGAAGACAAACAATTGTTTAATGACATGCGGGTGAGTAAATGATGACAGAATTTAGTTTTTATTAGGTGAGCTATCACTTTAACCCACATATATGCAACACCATTAGTAAACACTTTTCTCTGTACCTTTCCATTACTTTAGCTATCCCAAACAAAAGCACACTTTAAAGTGTGGCCACTTTTCAGTTCATATGGCAAAATTCCACAGGCGAAATGCAGTCATCTCATTAGGATTTGAGGGAAGGACACGTGAGATGAAAAGTTTCTTTTAACTGATTTTACATCGGCTTCAAGTTTGTTGAACTGTTTTGCAATGCAGCACATTATTCGAGGACTACTTTTAATGAAGTGTTTTTGTCATTTTGGAACATGACAGATACCATCCCCCTTCACTTTATAGTATATTATATATTGTATATTTTGAAGGGTTAGGATTACCCTGCATGTCCGTTATCTATCAAAAACTCTGCTCAGGCTCATATTTTCTATTCTTCTCCCACTCCTTCTCCATATGAATCCCCCACCCATGTATCTCCCTCCTTCCCCCTGTATTGTCCTTATATGAAGGCACTGTATTGTTTGGCCAACTTGGGAACTCTTTGGAGTGCTGATTATATCTGTGAAAAAACTGCCTCCTTTCACATGTATACATCCGTGTGTGTTTTTTGAGGCACATATCTCCCCCCACGAGTCTTCTACAGAACGCTCCTGCCCAAGCGATTCCTCCTTTCCCCTTTTAGCATGCCCGTCTCTTTGTTCACTCACAATTTGCATGTTAATTGTCACCAGCTGGATGGTCTAATGGACTCAGTTGTAAACATGGTGCTATAAAACATGTTTTAAAACTTTTGCATTTGTCTTTAACAATCTTTGGCATAACTGAACCAATTTAACCACTTTGTCTTTGGCAAAGAATCAGCAGCCTCAAAAGTAGATTAGCTTAGATACATTTGTCACTGTGCCATTAATGGAACCAGATACAGTATATTGTGGTAAATTAGCTCATGCACACCACTGCTAAAGTGGAACCATATGGAAATCACTGACATATCAGGATGTGTTTCGAGCATCACCCTCTACTAATTGTTGAAAATTTCAATTTGTCATACTCTAAAACCCTTCAGCCATCTTTTAATTAGACAAATATCCAAGGTCCTGTTTGCATTACATTAATGATCCAATCATAAGTGGGCAGTTCAGACATATTTTCATTGGTATTAATGTTTCCTAAACAAGTGCACTGCTTTTAAAGCATTACCAGCTACATTTAAAGGGGTTAGTCGACCCATAAATCAAAATGTTGTCATAATTTAGGCAAATGTCATTTCAAAACCTTAAGATTTACATTCACCTTTGGAATGCAAATAAAGATATATACAGCACATCAAATAACAGCAGCTCAAACCTGCTTGATTGATGCCCAAGAACCAATGAGGTTTGTTCTTATACATGAGGCATTATATGTATATGTACAGGTGCATCTCAATAAATTAGAATGTCGTGGAAAAGTTCATTTATTTCAGTAATTCAACTCAAATTGTGAAACTCGTGTATTAAATAAATTCAATGCACACAGACTGAAGTAGTTTAAGTCTTTGGTTCTTTTTTTCCACGGCATTCTAATTTATTGAGATGCACCTGCACTCTATGTATGTCTGTTGATCAGTGTCTCTACAGAAGAATTGGATTAAACCACTTTAGTAATATGGATTACTATTACAATGTCTTTATTAAGCTTGAATATTTTGGTTGAATGTACTTTCAATGGATGGACAAAATAATGAGAGAATATTAAAAATGCCTTCATTTATGTTCTCAAGATGAATGGAAGTGGGTTTGGAACGACATTTGAGTTGACAGATATCCCATTCATATTTGGTTGTGCCGCACAGCTACCACAACCACTTTAAGATTAAAATTATTACTGCAAAGTAAAATATTTTAAATACATCAGATGATGGCATTCCTTCTCTGAATTAAAAATGGACTTTAGTTATTTATTTATTTATAAATAATGCTTAATATTTTTGGTTATTATTGTTTGAACTGATTTTTTTTTTCAATCTTTTTTCTTAAAATAGTTTCATCTAGTGGTGTCTTTCTTTAGACTAGCCCTGAGTGTACTGTACTCCATCTAGTGTTGTTTTTTTGTTGTTGTTTTTTTATAATAATCATCTTTCTTTGTCATGATGTGTGTCTAATTAGGCTGTGTTAATCAATAAGCCGAAAGAACACCGGTTAAGATGTTTGAAATCCATAATGGGTAAAAATCTACTTGTGTCGATTGGTTTATGCTTATCTGTGTTATGACTTTGTGACCGTTATTTCTTACTCTGTTTTTAAAATTTGGGCTATAGTTCTATTCATGAGTCTGATTCCAACCAGCGATGCACCGGCTCCAGCGCTATAACCACTCCAATGTATAAGAGGCAAAAAAAGTTGGCAGAACTCAATTTACCTCAGCCTGGAATTTAAACTGCTCTCTTAAATATAATCAGATTCTGGCACCACAGTCTCTACTTTCAAAAATACAGTTAGCATTAGTTTAATTAGCTGATTACCTACATGGTAATAAAACAGTACATTTGATGCTGTGTTCCCATGGCTGCTGAGTCAGTTTGCATTGCTTCCCACACTTGCTGAACGCTGAGTACTGTGCAGTCGGCAGGCTGGAGGAGCTGTTCTACTGAATCATTCATTTCTCAGAGATGTCTGGGATGAGTCCCAAATCATCAGGTGTTTTTCTTCCGGAGAGCCAGCATAAACACTAGGACAGTTATTTTCTGAAACATCCTCCTGCAATCACACTGGTGCCTGAATTTGTGGCTATGCTTCAGTAAGGCTGTTTGAGAATAGACAGTGGATTTGCAAAGTCCAAAAAAGGATAAAATGTAGTCTTTCAGTCAAAAAAGATGCCAAATGCAGATTATAATTTGTCCTGTGTAAATTGTTTTGATCTTTAACCACTTGTTTGTTTTAGCTCCCTCTGCTGGATATCAAGTAATCTGCTCCATCTGCTCATCCTCAAATAATTCCTGTATGACCTGTATGACAGGCTAAAATTTTAGTAATGTCTGATTTGCCAACAAATAAATAGGTGCAGTTAAAAAAAAAAAGTTCTAAATCAATTTTGGGACATAATGATGTGGTCAGAACTGTTAACAGGTGGAAGGGAGTATTATCAATCAATAAACTTCAGGATGTTTGTCACTCACAGCAATTATATGGCTTCATGACACTGAATATAACTACTTTCATGATATTTTTTTATTATGGTTTTACAGTGCTTCCATCAAGCTTTAAAGCTCCATTGTAATTCCATGGAAGTGAGAGTAAGAATATATGTGAATATATACAATAAGAATGTGAACTTGTCCTTTAAATGACTGAGTTAATGAGCTTAGATTTAGAAGTACAGTTAGAATTAATATTAGTGCACAGATTTAAATGACCTTATTCAGCACTAAAACAGAACTGCATCATGGTTGATGTTTACCAGAAATGTGGTTCAGAGTGCCGTCTTGTCATGCTATTAAGCCATGTTCAATTAAAATAACCTGTCAATCACAACTCTCTCTAGAGCAATAGACCTGTTTATTGAGTTTCAAAAGATAGTTGGGGTTCAGACAGGGGACATTCCAAACATGCAATATGAAAACAAAATTGTTGCTTTTTATCGATTCTGTTGTTTCAGTTGTGGGTTTGATTTTATTTAATACATTTTTACCCATACCCAAGAAATTTGTTCCTTTTACCCCATGGCGTGACTTCACTCTCAACCTCCCCACTGTGCTACAGCCCGAGTGTGTGAATGTATCTTAGCTCTCCAGGATCTCTAAGTAGAGATGGGGCTTACCTGTCTCTATTAATACATAGGGATCAGCTGATTATCTGATGGGTTTTCAGAAAAAGGTCTTTCAGAGGGCACAGGTACACATAGGATGCCAAATAAAGCATAGAACAAATAAAAATAAAATAAAAATAGGTGCATATTTTAGTTCAGACACGATTAAAAAAGTTTAGAGTGTGAGACTACACTACAGTATGTGAGAGTATTAATCTGCCCTCTAGTGGTGTAATCATGAAATGCATCTCTGAAAGTTAATAAATTGTCTGTGATAGTTTCAGTCCAAGATACTGTTTGCTTAATACTATGTTACAGGCATGATAAAATACCCTGAATAATAATGGCTGTGACATAAAACACCTGTTCTCCATACCACTGTTCAGCACCTGCAGAGGACAAATAATTATATTAGATCACATGTTGGGACTTCTTGCAGAAGGATGGGACATTATGAGTTTGCTTGATACGACAACAGTGAACATTTTATACTTGTCTGATTTAGTGAACATTTTATACTTGTCTGATAAAAGTAAACTAATTATCTAACAGACTTGATATGTAGTATGTCTGATAGTGTTTTTTCTTACTCTTTCTCTCCCTGCAAGAGGATGACATGGATCTGGAGGCTCTGGTGAATGACATGAACTCATCCTTTGAGAGTCTGTATACTTCTTGCAGTGTGCAAACTGAATCCACTCCACTGCTGCACAACGGCCAGCTGCCCCGCCACGCCGCCTATCATACACACGCCCAGCCCACCTCCCCACACCAGAGACTGCACCGGTCCCAGCCCATGCACATCCTTGCTGTCAGGTAAAAACCCTGCACATATATGCACATAAAAGTTGCGTTTATTTTAAAGAAAGATAACACCATTTCAAAGCAAGACGTTTACCATTAACACTTTTAACAACAGAACTTTCTGGCTTTCCATGTTTTAGCTCTGAATCAAACACAGGCAAAGAAGAAGTAGAAACAAGTGACTGCTTATGTAATCAGATGCATATGTAAAATAACGTGATCATCAAGCATTAAACAGCATATAAGTCAAAACTGCCTAACGCTACAAAATGAAATGTTGACCCAGGATATGGTAAAGGACCGTGGAAACTTTGGGGTGTTGATTGGAAGGAATCTACTCCATCTGTGTTTTGATCATCATTCTGAATCCAATCCAGATGTAGTCTTTGAAAAAGATGGGATTTTCTCAGCTTTTTGTTCAAAATGTCACTTTTTTTTTTCATGAAACTTACATAGATTGAAGTGTTGATAAAAAAAGACAACCCAGGCTCATTGGAAATACGTGCTTGTGGCGACAGTTCTGCAGCACCGATATTATGTACCTTACTGCATATTTTGCGACGGGAGTGTTGCTAAAAGTTTAATGCTGTATCTTGTTGGAAATCCCCCCTACACCAAACCCAACTCTAAACCTACCCGACAATGTTAACGAATGCAAAAGTGATATAATAACACATTCACTGATGCAACCATGCTATTTTAACTTCCTTATATGACAGTTTGATCGAACCGTAGTTTCAACGCCGTATCGCGTGAGCTACTGAGTTTGAAAACCCATACATGTGAAGCTGTATCTGTGATGCTAATGTTCAAAATGATCAGTTTTCAAATCTAGCAGCATGATATTTTCGTTCTAAGTCATTACATATTATGCAAGGAACTGTGCGAAAATTAGGCACTGGCCCTGTAAATCATACTTTGTGTGAAAAGGAATAAAAGTTTTCAGAGTTTTACTGCCTGCCTCTAGTGTTCATTTCAACTAGAAACTGCAGCGATTTGTAAATATAGGCACATTTTTTGAGTTTTGTAGTTATGTAAGTAGACTCAATAAATAAATAAATGTAACAATTTTTTTTTAAGATTTTCACAATTTAATTAATAGTCAAATTCCAAATCAAATTTAATTGAATAATCCTTATGTATTTCAATTGAATAACTGATTAAGGGTTGTTCAATTATTCAATTAAAACAAGTAAGGATTATTCAATTCAATTTGATGGAATTTTACTATTAATTAAATTGCGTAAATCTGAAAAAGGATTACTTTTCAATAAGCCTGGGTAGCAACAATAATACATGAAGCTTTTTTTTTTATTTTTATAAAGCAGAGGCTCTGTTCTTTCAGATATTCATACAACAAAATATTCTGGGGGCCATTGAAATTTAGTGAAAATGACCAAAACTGATGGTGGTAGCTGGCAACCTTTTTTTTTAAAATTATTATTATTATTATTATTTTTATTTTTTTTTTTAAAGCTGGCAGGGAAAGAGTTAAGAAGTTAATTGGTCTGAATTATAAAACAATCGATGCAGAGTTCATGATTGAAGACAAAATATATTTGACAGTTTATGACTGTTAAACATTAAGGGAACATGTTGCTAGTGACTTCATACATACACTAAAAATGACCTTGGGACCAATTGCTCAAAAGTCATGAAAATTGATTAGAAAAGTGAAGTTAGTTAGTAAAAATGTTACTTTTCAGATGATACTTGCATTGTTATTGTGCTATTTAACAGCTAAACAAAAGAAAAAGAATCTAACAGACATTTTTAAACATAGCATACAATAAGTGTCCAAATACTTTTGGGATGCACTTTATATGCGCACAGCACATTTTGTTCAAATAAATAATGAAATCAGTGCAAATTAAATTAAAACTTCAAAGAAATTTCCAAAACAACACTACAATCTTTTTCAGCTTGACTTCCTTTGTTTCCATAAAGAGTGGTGTTCCTGGTTTTCCATTGCTCTTTTGTACCAAAACCTCTGAGAATAAATGGTTCCATTTGGTGAGCGTGTTTTTCCCTCTCAGCTGTGGATCAGAGCAGGAAGTTGAGCGTAACGAGCTCATGAACGAGGGTTCACTCAAGCAAAGGTTCATTCAGAGGTTATTGTTCAGACTTGAGTTCAGCTCTGAATTCCATATCACACACTCCTTCATGCTTTCAAATCTATGGCATGAATGTCTGTGCGTATGTTTCAGTCTTTCTCTGAAGTCCCCACTTCAAAAGGACTCCCCATCTACTGACTTCAAAAAATGGCCCAAAATGCTAATGCTGCCCAAAGCCACCAGCCATTCTAGGCCGACAGTAATGCCCTCAGTGAAAGGTTGCGAGACAAGTTTCTTTTTCTACATTTCATGTCTGTAATATAACCCTAAATCTAATATTTTTCTTTATTCCTCCAGAAGACTTCAGGAAGAGGAACAACAGTACCGAACATCCTCTCTACCTGCCATCCCCAACCCCTTTCCTGAGCTCTGCAGCCCTGCGAGTTCCCCTACGCTCAGCTCTGGCTCCTTACCTCAGTGTCAGCCTTCAGGCAAATATGTAAGAGACCCTTTGTTCTCATTCCTTTCTCTTTTTAAGGAATAGTTTACTCAAAAATGGAAACTCTGACATTATTTACTCACCCCTATGTCATTCCAACCCAACATAATTATCTCTCAGATAAATTCTGAAGAATATTTGTGCAACTCATTTTCATAAAGCATTAGTTCATAGTGACCATAAAAGTATTAGTAGTCCAATTTTTTTTTTATTTTTTTGGCATAAAAGTAGTCAAAAAAAAAAAAATGAATGCAAAAATGCATAAATGCAATTGCAAATTATATTTTAGAGAGGCAAAAACGGCAGAAGATTTCAGTCTGTTCATCCCAGAAAGCATTTTTTTAATTCATTTATGGTTTTTGAGGAATTTGACAACTGGTGTCAGTATGGACTCTCATTTATGGAAAAGAGTTGCAGAAAGATTCTTAAAAAAATGTCATTCTTTCTCTGTTCCATGGAGAAATTAAACTCACACTGGGTTGGAACAACATGAAGGTTGGGTAAAAAGTGACAGGAATACATTTTTATTTTGTGTTATTTGAAAAAGGCCTCTCAAAGATTTTTTTATTCGATTTGTAGATGTTACTGTTAGGACAACATGGGTGTTGTTGTAATTTCGAACATGCTGAAATGCAGTTCAGTGTGGTGTATTGATTTAATGTATGTCTAGACACTGGTTTCCCAAGAAACGTGGCACTTTCTCTACAGTGTGACTCATATATTCTTATTCTTAAAGGGGTCATATGATGTTGCTAAAAAGAACATTATTTTGTGTATTTGGTGTAATGAAATGTTTATGCGGTTTACGGTTCAAAAAACACATGATTTTCCACATACTGTACATTATTGTTTCTCCTCTATGCCCCGCCTTTCTGAAACGTGTCGATTTTTACAAAGCTCATCGTTCTGAAAAAGCGAGGTGTGCTCTGATTGGCCAGCTATCCAGTGCGTTGTGATTGGCCGAATTCCTCAAGCGTGTGACGGAAATGTTA